TTATTCAATCATTTCTGGTACTTTAAAAAAAAAAAACCAACACGTGTGTGAAAGAGATGTTTTTTTAATTTGTTTAAAGTAATTCATGAAAGAAAACCTATAATTAATCTCATTTTAATTTATATTTTTATCTACCAATTTTCTACTTTTAGTCAATTGTATCTTTGTTTGTATTTAATTTTCATTTTTAAAAAAATATTTATGGAAGTAGAAGCTTCTAGGCTTAAAGGTCTGCCCTTTCTCGTTGTTGAAAATTTGCATTCATTGGCATTGCTTTAGGTTATGCTTAGAGATGCAGTGGTTGTTAGAGTTTCCGATTAAGGCATTCTACTTATTTCAGTTGGGATTGGGAGCATGTACCACACGTAAGCCTAAGTTTTTTGTTTTTTTGGTAACAAGAGGGGCTAAAAGCCCAGCACAGCAATACCTAAGCGGCAACAAAACGATGCCTGGACACACCCATGGCATCAGCATACAAAATATCCTTCAGGAAGTCAGGAACCGTCTCATAGAGATGAGTCCCAGGACCAAAATCAATGCTCCTAGCAGATAAAGCATCAGCAGTAAAATTCTGCTCACGATAGATATGGTTTATAGAACAACGCCAATCCTTCTTGATCTTTGACTTGCAACAAACTATGATGCTGAAGAGGGGGTGAGTGGGAATGGTAGGGCTATTGAGCATGGAAACAGCATCACAAGAATCACTTTCCAACTCAACATTACGAAAGCCAGAGTCCCAAGCCAGAGTAAGCCCCCAAAGAATACCCCACAATTCAGCCTCAAGGACAGAGCCATTACCTAAGTTTACAGAGAAGCCCTTGATCCAACCCCCTGTTGTATCTCTTAGGAGCCCACCAGCACCAATAAAACCAGTAGTAGGGCTTCTACTCCCATCAGTATTTATCTTGCAGGTTCCAGTGCTAGGGGGGTTCCAATGCAAGAGAATTGGGTGGAGATGGTAGAGTTAGGCCACGTAAGCTGAAGTTTGACCTCTTGTAGTGGTTGAAAATATTGCTAAGACTAATAACTTATACCTTTAATCGAGTAACTTGGAAGAATATGTGAAGAAATTATTATTCTTTTTCAACGATGCATTATCACCTTGGGTGGGTGCAAATTTAGTAAGTATTTTTATAATTTAAATATTAATAATAATGAATTTAATTTGTGTTTATATATCTCATTAAAGTTTCAAAAGTTAAGTTGAATTACTTTTGGCTTGCTTTTAAAGTTAGTTGTTTGAATTTCTTAAAAAGGAAATTATGAACCAAGTTTTGTACTCTGTTTTGGTGAAAATATATGTGAATGCAACAGTTTAATGCTTCCATAATGGTTGATCCTACATGTGCTTCTCTGTCATAACTTCATTGCTTCCGTAGTTTTCATAGAGCATGCAATAGTACCTTAAAAATCCTTCATGACAGAGAAGGAGAATCTTTGCCTTTATGGATTTCCAACCGAGCAGTGGGAAGTTAATTTACCTGCAGAGGAGGTTCCTCCAGAGCTTCCGGAGCCAGCACTTGGTATTAACTTTGCAAGAGATGGAATGCAAGAAAAGGATTGGTTATCTTTGGTTGCTGTCCACAGTGATGCATGGTTACTTGCAGTGGCATTTTATTTTGGTGCTAGGTTCGGATTTGATAAGGCTGATAGGTATGGCTCTTTGTACAATATTAACGTGTAGTTTGACTCTGTATGATTCTAATGGGTTCAGATCTTTAGTTCAGAGGTGAGGCATCACTTTGTTTTTAAATCATGCTAGTGTTTTGGTTAATCATCATCCTTATATTCTAGTTTGCTGGAACCTACTCTTAGTTTAATAGTACTCGTCTCTAGTTTGATTTCATTATGTGCTATTACATTGCAATGTTACATGTATGTGTGCTCGCATGCATATGTTTGTTTGCTGTGTATTCTTATTTTCAGGAAAACTACAATGGCCTAATATTACAAATATAAGTTTTTGATTGAGCACTAGTAAAGTTGATAAATTGCAGCCTACGTTCACAGCTGTTTTAAGCGATTGGGTCTGTTCTTCTTTGGGAAAATGAAGATGGTGTTCATGATATAGTCGGGTTGCCTTTTTTGACATCTTTTTAGGAATGTAGTTGAAGCTGTTTGACTTTTAGCTTTTCTTATTTAAATTTTTGATGCATTACACCAATTAAAGAGGAGGCTTAGTTTTGTTGTAACGAAAAAGGAATAGGGAGGGTCATTTTTTGTATTCCTTTCGATAATGTTCTAGTTAGGTACCTTAGCCTTCATTTGGTTGTTTGGAGTCTGCTAACTACAACCCAAAATTTATTTTTTTGTGCTCTTTTCTGGTTTTGTCTTGCATTTCTGTTGTGTTTAGGTATGTTCACTTACCATTATGCTGTTGGTATTTGCTTTGCAGGAAACGCCTTTTTAATATGATAAATGAACTTCCAACAATATTTGAGGTTGTGACAGGGACAGTTAAGAAACAAGTGAAGGAGAAGTCCTCAAATTCAAATCATGGCAGCAACAGATCTAAATCAAACTCTAAGGTTTGGAAAAACTTGGATTGCTAGTTTCTGAATCTCATAATTTAGTTGCTATTTTCAATTTCAAATTGTTGTGCTAGAATCTTTAAGTTGTCTTTTGGCATGGGATAACTGTGTAAACGTGGAAACTTTGCATTCTTCTTTACGTATCTACAATTCAAAATATGAACTGTGAAATGTCTAGAAATATTGTGACGTCATGCCAACATGAGAGTAAAAGATGAATACATTATTAGTTTTTGGTTTGCTGAACAACCTGGCCACCTTGTAACTTATTGTGTTTTGCAAATGCAGCGTGGTTCTGAGCCTCATCCCAGGTATACAAAGGCAGTGCAATCAAAGGATGAGGACGAGGAGGGCCTGGAAGATGACGATGAGGATGAGCATGGTGAGACACTGTGTGGGGCTTGTGGAGAGAACTACGCATCTGACGAATTCTGGATTTGCTGCGACATCTGTGAGAAGTGGTTCCATGGGAAGTGCGTTAAGATCACCCCAGCTAGGGCTGAGCATATTAAGCAGTACAAATGCCCATCTTGCACCAACAAGAGAGCCCGGCCTTAATGGTTTCTGAGAAAGTTGACATCTTATGTATTAGGGTGGTTGACTGCTAATTGTCTCGTAGGTCAGGTTGTCTCTTGGTCTGATGCCTGTAGTTTTAGGAGATTTAATCTCGGATGTTGTGTAGGTTGCAAGTCTGCTATTTATTTTAGATATCATATGCCAGGATGTTTAAATTGAGATTGGAAATCATTTTCCCCCCGTCTCGTCAGTGTGGGATTTGTTATCTATATGCATGAATGTGTTTAGTGTTTATAAAATTAACGGCCATTTCTCAGTTGACTTTTATCGATCATTTGACGTCTTCTGTCTTATTTGGGCTTGGACTTATTTCTGGGTGTGTGGTTTTTGAAGTTGGAATTAAATTTGGTCGCTGACACCGGTGCGTTCCTCCGTCGAAAAAATTTAAGTGATTGAGCGTATGGACCTGATAGTTGGTCAAAAATTGATTGGCGGGTAATTTTACTTGTCCGTATATACCTTCCTCTCGCAATAAGTGATCACATGCCTATCACGTAACTACTGAATAAGTGATCACATGCCTATCACGTAACTACTGAATTATTCCGCTAGCAACAATTGATCATGTGCTAAACACATGACTGGATTGTTGTAAGAGGCGATATACACATGGAACAAACAGTTTTTCTCTTCTGGTTGCATGGAAACAAACTCTTTGTGACATGTTCATCTGGTATGGTATGGGTAGATTATAGAGCAACCCGAAACCGTGAGACCTAAGAGGCGTTGGTATTTTTAGTGCCTATGCATGATCTTGGGTCGTATGATCTTTGTCGTTCATGCTCACTTTAACGGCCGCCCAATTGAGAGTTAGTTACAGTGTAATACCTAATGGGATCTTGCCCCCTTCAAAGGTTTTTATAAAGTGGTCCTTGTTTACTGGCTGGGACTTTTGCAGTTAGTCTCAGACATGTCACGCATTGAGGATAAGGCTTAGACTATATAAGCTGAGAGGGTAGAGAGAGAGTGCATGTGAGGCCCCTTGTTTCTTTCTAGTGGGTTTGCATTTGATGGTCCATAGAAATTCATAATAACCAGTGGCTAAGATTTGATGATCCATAGAATTAGATCTTTGCACCGCGTTGCATTCAGGTTTAGCCCCTGGTTTTGGTTTTTGTTGCCCTTTCGAATTTCGAGTTTTGATTCCACAATAAAGGAAAAAACAAAAACAAAAGCCCCTCGTTCTTACACACGCATTATATGCTGTCTTTCATGCACGTTTCACTGGTCGTCAGATTCTTCCACCGTCCACCACCATTGACAGAAGGTTAAACTAATCTAATTTTTGCATTACTTCTAATCCAGATTGAGATGCTCACAGTCACATAAAAGCTTCCATCGCCTCAAGCCCATGTGTTCATTGCTTGGACAATTTGGCAGCAACTAACTATAAAGCAATGAATTCTCAATGCATAATCTAAACAGATGGGTGCCACGCCAATTGTTGGGTTTTCGGGAAAGATTTATTTATTTGAGTCTAATGATTGGCACCATTCATGAATAATGCAGAGAGAGTGAGAGAGAGAGAGAGAGTGCAACCAAACCCACCCACCCCACTCATCAAGTTGTGCACAAAGAGTTCTGACTATGTTTTTATTTCTGGATGGCGAGTGGGCTTGCCATAAAATTAGCATTTTACACAAGACAATGTGCCAAATGTCTTGCATCAACAGACTCCTTATATCAATATGACAAAGAGATCCGAATATATATTTTGCCAAGCATATAATAGCATAATAAATTTCCCTTATTTCCCAATCTCTTGTTCATCATCTGCCTGATGTGAGAAATTCACAAATCTAATTCATTTGGGGGCTATGATCTATATGAATATTATCCTTATAATATGTTAAGAAGTTTCTATTTATCCCCTACATAGACACATAGTCAAGTCAAACCATGGAAAATAGAATTACTTGCACAACATAGATGAAAGAGGAAGAGGCAAGATACATAAATTTTTGGAAAAAAAGAAGAGGAGGAAATATAGAAGAAAACTACTCTATACATATTTACAATATCCCATATGGTGGCAAGTAGGCAGGGCAGTATTGCCAACGGCAAAAACAATTTGCAACAAATGGAATCAAACCCCACTTCTTTCTGTGTTCTCTCCATTTGACTGCTCAAGTCAAGAAGGGTAGCTCCCTTGGCTCTTAGTCGACATCCGCTTGAGAAACTCATAGGTAGTGACCATGGTTGTAGCAGACATTGACATTGAAGCCCACCTAGGCCCTAGCCCTCTGTAACAAGCAGCAAACCCACCTTCCCTCACCAAATTCCTCACAGTCTGCATTATGGTCAGTGGTCTTCTTTGCCCATTTTCTTCTGCATCCAAAACTTGCAGCCGGGTCTTGACGGTATCCAGTGGCATGGTTATCAGAGCAGAAACCCCACTAGCCATGGCTGCGCTCAACCCCTGCACTGCCAGCATTGCCCTGCAATCAGGCCTATTGGCTGAGCCACTCTCATCTTTCTTACACATATAGCAACCAAAACCACCCCAAATGAGCCTATGTGCAACAGAGTAAGAAGCCCACCAAACCGCATTCGAGGGTGCATAAGTCAGTGTTGATATCCCAAATCCCCTATACAATCCTCTCAGCCCATCTGCATGTACAATTTTCCTAAAAGCATCAAGACCATTGCTGTACTTATATGAACTCACATTGGGGAGGATGTTTTTGCTGCTGGTGCTGCAGCCCTGAACCATAAGTCTCTGGCTCACAACATCAATTGGGGTCCAAACTAATTGGGCAGCCATGGCTGAGCTCAACCCTGCAGCAGCATTAGCTATAGCCATTGCTGTAGTATCTGAAAAGCCTAATCTAACAGTTACAGTCCCAACATTACTCTTGGTAACTTCAAGCGCTGTCATGTAAAGTGCTCTAGCAGGAATGGTTCCCATGAGAGAGGTACCAAAACCTCTGTAAAACCCTCTAGGACCTTCATGGCGCATCATAGCACAAGACATCTTCAGGCAAGAAATTTGAGTGGGTGAAACTTGTTGACGGGTTTTTAAGACCACAATCGGATAAAGAGCAGCTGAAACACCAGAAAACAAAGCAGCACCCAGAAAGAAAAACTTGGACTTGTCAAGCATATGCCAATCTATATCAGCTGGGATATGAATTTCTGATGCCGAATCTTTCTCGGCCGCCCTCAAGCTCATCCTCGCCACCTTTATAATCAATTAAAGATCCAAAATCCCTCTTTACCAAAGTAACTATTAGAACAAATTTTTGTATAAAACTAGCTAGTTCTACTTAGCTGAGCTGAAAAAAAGTCTCAACCCAATAATAAATAGCAAAGCGAAAAAGAAATACAGGATGGGAAATGAAGTAAAAATGCAATCTTGGAACTTTACAAGTGGACTATTACTAAGACTTTCTTTGACGCCAAAGAAAAAGTTAAAGTTAAGAACTTTGAAAGCTATTGGACTAATTGGTATAAGGGTTTTGTTGGGTGCTGGTTTTTTTCCTCTTGCGCAACCAGATTAGGGACCGTACGTGGATCACCATAAATGGGTGGAACATTTCTTCATGTAAAAACCCCAATCAGTAGTGATGGTTCTTACCAGCTGAGGAAGATCATCAGGGCTCATCATCATCTTCAAAACTTCATCTCTGCAAAAGCAACGGCGGAGATGGAACGAAGCCCCCAGCTGCGAAAATCTAAAGTGAGAGAGAGTGAAGAGTCTCACAGAAAGCGAAGTGGATTGAGCAGAAGGATTGAGGAGAGAGAGGGTGAAAGAGAGGGCTTTGAAGGCGAGACAGAGAGGACAAGATTTATGGAGTGTAGTGAGGGTTTTTCGGATCGATAAAATGGGACACGTGTCGGTTATCATTTCGAGGACTTTCCAAGATATTAACCGGGTTAGGGTTTGGTTGGAGCCGCTGCTGACTGTGTTTTGGGTGATCCACTTTTAACAAATATGGGTTGAACTGTGGGCTTGCAGTCGTGGATCCATCAAAGCTTCAATGAAAACTAGGTTCTATATATATTTAAATCATTTTTTGGACAAATGGAGATAGGAGTTTTTTTTTCTTTTTTCTTTTTTCTATCTTTAGATACGAAATTCTTAACATGCTGTCCTTTTTTCTTTAATATTTATTGATTTGACCCCACTTCTTTACATAGCCACCTTAATCAGTAAAATTCGCAGGAGTTGATTTTTCACTTACATTTCTTTTTGCTTTTTAATATTTTTAATTAATTTTGTTCTTTTTTGTTCTTTCTCATTACTATTCTACCATTACCCTATAATTCTCTTTAATAAACATGTACAATCACTTACTAATATTATGAAAGAATAAAAATCTGACACTATTAGAACAAATCCAGCGCTTGCATGAAACCGGGCAGGAGGCCCCCCAGTCAAGCCCAGCATGCCTCCAGCGCAAGAGAAGAAGCCCGGGCAAGCCCTGGGTCCCACCAACCCAGGCAAGCCCATGGGCAGATCCTGCCTGGGCAACATGATGCAATGCTGACATCATAATGACATCAGCAAAAAAAAAAAAGGAAAAAAAAATCCAGAATTTTTTATTATAAATACCTAGGCATATTCTTTACTTCCCACACCAAAAACTCTATACAAATTCATCTCCTCATATCTCATGTGAATAGTATTTGCCTTTGTCCTAGCCTTCATGGGTGGAACCAACTGTGGGGGTCTTTTTGTTCCAGCAGCCAGACAAATCGGCTTGGGCTGCTGTAAAGGATGAGCAGATGTGTGAAATTGCCCCCTTTGTGTCTGAGTTTGAAGATTAAGCCCCAAAGATGTCTCGAAAGGGTGATGACGCCTTAGGAAACTCTTTGGTTACCTTCACCAATGAAAACAACAACAAATTACAGATAAATCTTCTAGCTTTGCATGAGAAGATTATGGCATGAGAGCAAAATTATCATGGGTTTAGCACTTGAGGAGAGAGAGAGCTGTGAGTTCCTATGAGAGACAGAGGTTTTAAGGGAAAGAGAAAGGAATTCTAAGGAGGTTTGATGAAGGGGGAGAAGGATGGTGAAGAATTGTGAGTAATCTTAGCAGTTTTCAGCAGCTTGACAGTGACTCTGTCAAAGCTATGCCAATCTGCCAGAACAGGGGAAATATGGGAAATAGGTAAGGATAGCACGAAAATTACTGGGTTTGCATGTGAGAGAGGAAG